AAGCCACCCAGGCGCCCCAAGATAATTTTTGTTTATGGTGAAAAATATGGAGAGAGTTTTTGGTTTGTTCGTTTTTTGGTTTTGTGTACACATGTCTAGGTTTTTCCAGCGTCATTTGTTTAAGATTATCCATTGGTTTGCCTTTGCACCTTTGTCAAAAATCAACTGGTCATATACATGTGTAAGTCCATTCAGTACTCTCAGTTCTGTCCTATTGATCTTTGTGTCCTTTTTTGGCCATTTAACTTAAATTTGAATTTATGGGCATAAAATTGTTTGTAATATTCCCTTATTTTCTATTTAATGACTTCAGGCTCTATAGTGTTGTACCTGCTTTCATTTCTGATATTGGAAATTTCTGTCTGCTCTGTTTTTAATGATCATTCTGATCAGAGATTTATCAATTTCAGTATTTTCCTAGAGCCAACTTTTAGCTTCATTGATTTTTTTCTAGTGTTTTTCTAATTTTAATTTCACTGATCTCTGCTCTTATCTATATTATATACTTCCTCTGCTTGTTTTGGATTAAATTTGGTATTCTTTTTTTAGTGCCCTAAAGTAGAAGTATAGATCATTGATTTGAAGCTATTGTTCTATTGTAATACAAGTATTCAATGATATATATTTCCTTCTAAGTCCCCTCATGTGTAGAATATGAACCTTACAACACTACTTTTATTTTCATTCATTTAATTATGTTTTTTAATCTCCCTTGAGATACTCTCTTTAACTCATGGATTATCTATGTGATTTTTAATTCCCAAATATTCAGTGATTTCCATTATATTTCTGTTACTGATTTGTAAATACATTATTGTCAAAGAATATACTTTGTATGACTTCACTTCTTTTTTTTAAGTTTATTTATTTATTTTGGGGGGGGAGGGGACACAACCGAGGGAGTGGCAGAGAGAGAAAGGGAGAGAGAGAATCCCAACACCAGGCTTGAACTCATGAACCGTGAGATCGTAACCTGAACTGAAATCAAGAGTCAGATGCCCAACTGACTGAGCAACCCAGGCGCCCCTGTATGACTTCACTTCTTTAAATTTGTTAATGTTTGTTTTATGACCCAATATATGGTCTATTTTGGTGAATGGTCCCATCAATGGGTTGGGTTTTTTTTGTTTTTTGTGCCTTTTTGGGGTTTTTTTTTTTTCCTTTTTTGGTGTTTTAAAATGTTATATATGTGGCTGTTAAGTACCATGATCAATAAATATCAGTTATATCTTGCTGCTTTAGTGTGGTATTCAGGTTTTCTCTCATCACTGCTTTTCATTTTAGTAGTTTAAGCAATTATGGAGACAGAGAAGGGTTTGAAGTTACCCATTATAATTGTAACTTTTTCTGAATGTTTCAAATCTATCAGTTTTAGGTGGCTCTATTTTGAAGCTCTGTGATTTGGTATATACACATTTAGGATTGTTATGTATTCTTGGTGAATCAATCCCTTTATCATTATATGATGTTTCTGTTTGTCCCTGATAATTGTCTTTGCTTTGAAGTCTATTTTATCAGATTTAATATCTGATATTAATCAGCTTTCTTTTAATTAGTGCTTACATAGCATATCTGTGCTTGTTTTTTTACTTTCAATCTACTTATTATATTTCAAATGAGTTTTTATAAATAGCATATAATTGGGCCTTCATTTTATATTCATCTTTTTTTATTGGTGTATTTTTTATCATTCACCTTTAATGTAATTATTGGTGTTAAGATTTAAGATTTCTAGTTTATTATGTGTTAATTACTGTTTGTAAATAGTTTTTCATTCTTGTTTTTCCCCTTTCCTGTCATCCTCTAAATTTCTTAAATGTTTTTAGTATTCAATTTTAATGTATATGTAGTGGGGCTATTTGTAACAGCTTTATTGAGATTTGTCATATATCCATACTATACAATTCACCAATTTAAAGTACAATTCAGTGGGTTTGTATATTCACAGAGTTGTACAAACATCACCATGATTAATTTTAGAACAACTTTATTACCTCCCAAAGAAACCCTATACCCTTTAGCTATGACCCCTCAAACACCTCCCTTATTCCTCAGTCCAAGGCGAGCACTGGCTGTAGGATTCTTGGTTGACAGTTCATCCCCACCCTTATCCCCAGCACTTGAAAAATGTTGTGTCAATAGTTTCTCATGAGAAATACATTGTCACTTGAATAGTTTTTCCCTTATGCTATGTTCTTTCTATCTGGCTGCTGTCATGATTATTTTCTTCTTCTTTAGTTTTCGAGAATTTGATTATGATTGACTCAGCATGGATTTCTTGGGGTTTATTCTGTTTGAGTTTTGCTCAGCTTTTTAAATCTGTAGGTCTGTGTCTTTCATCGAAATTGGGCTATTTCCAGCCATTACTCTTTCAAGTATGTTTTTAGCCCTTCATTCTTTTTCCTCTCTTTCTGGAACCCTGATGATACAAATGGTAGCTACTTTGTTATTGGCCCATAGAGCCCTGAGACTCACTGAATCTTTTTGTTTCTATCTTTTCTATCAGTTGTTCAGATTTCATAATATTTATTGGTCTGTCATCAAGTTCAGTGATTCTTTCCTCTGTCATCTCCATTCAGTGAGGTTTTTATTTTAGTTATTTTATTTGGTTATTTACTTATTTATTAAATTGTTTATTATTCTGCAATTTTCATTTGGTTCACCTTTATATTCTTTCTTTGCCATGACTATGTATTTTTTCATTTGTTTCAAGAGTGTTCATAATTGCTTGTTGGAGCATTTTTATCATAATTACTTTTTGGGGCGCCTGGGTGGCTTAGTCGGTTAAGTGTCCGACTTTCGCTTAGGTCATGATCTCGTGGTTCGTGGGTTCGGGCCCCGCATCGGGCTCTGTGCTGACTGCCAGCTCAGAGCCTGGAGCCTGTTTCAGTCTGTGACTCCCTCTCTCTGACCCTCCCCTGCTCATGCTGTCTCTCTCTCTCTCTCCTAGAAATAAATAAAACATTTAAAAAAATAATAATTACTTTAAAATCCTTGTCCAATAATTCTAATATCAATATCATCACAGTATTGGTGCCTGTTGATTGTCTCATTTTGTTTAATGGTTTTCTGGCTCTTGGTTTGTCTAATAATTTTGGATTATATCCTGGACATTTTGTGTATTTTGTTATGAGTCTTTGTATCCTATTTAATAAATAATCTTCTATTTTAATAGAGTGACAGTCTGTTTTGGTTTAGAATGAACTTTCTGTTCCAAAAGTGTGGACTCTTGCTCAAATGTCAAGTTAGTTTCCATAGCTCTTGCAGGGATCTTCGAATCTGCCCTATTTCTGTGCTACCCAAGCTAATTTATTTATTTTTTATTTTTTTAACGTTTATTTATTATTGAGAGATGGATAGAGAGAGAGCATGAGCATGGGAGGGGCAGAGAGAGGGGAGACAGAATCTGAAGCAGGCTCCAGGCTCTGAGCTGTTAGCTCAGAGCCTGATGTGGGGCTCAAACTCACAGACTGCGAGATCATCACCTGAGCCAAAGTCGGACGCTTAACCAACTGAGCCACCCAGGTGCCCCTACCCAAGCTAATTTAGAACCTCGACAGTATTCCACCCAGAGACCAATTCTCAAAACTTTGGCTGCTTTGATTCTGGTTAGTTTGACACCTGGACTGTCCAGAGTTGTTTATAACTTCATGCACCTATTTAAAGAATTGGTTTCTCTAGACTCCTCCTCTCCGTAATCCTCCCCACCTCTCTCACTGGAAAGGGAGATGATACTATGTCATTGCTATGCTTTTCTTAATGCAGGGTACGATGGTTTATAGGGCTCCTCCCCAGTTTCTGCCATGCCTAATAGGGAGGAAAAGAGGTACAGTTTCTTTCATTGTATGTGCTTTAAGTAGAACAAGTATAATCAACGGGGTTGAATCTCCCAGGGCTACCCTATTACCAATCTTTTGTCTGGAGAGAACAGGATTCCTAAGGAATTTTGTTTCTGCCCATTGGTGTTTCTGGTTGTGGGTTACTTTAGCACCCAGGCTGTCTTTAGAAGGCAGAAAGAAAGAAAAAGAGAGAGAGAGAGAGAGAGAGAGAGAGAGGAAGGAAGGAAGGAAGGAAGGAAGGAAGGAAGGAAAAGAAAGAAAGAAAGAAAGAAAGAAAGAAAGAAAGAAAGAAAGAAAGAAAGAAAGAAAGAAAGAAAGAAAGGAAAGAAAGAGAAAGAACGAACGGAGGAAGGGAGGGAGGGAACTCATCATCAGGTTCTTCCCTGAGTCCCATAGTCCCTAGACAGTTTGCCTTCTTTTCTCGACCTTTCATGTATTTTACCTAGCGTTTTTCGTTGTAATTAGAGGGAGGATCTAGGGTGGTACGCGTTTGCTCCATATTGTAATGGGAAGCCAATCATGATTCAGTTTTGTATCCCTTATAAAAACATACCGTAATGAGTAGTGTATGGTCTACACAAAAGAAAGGCGTGAGAGGGGAAAATAAGTAGCTTCATATCTCACAATGGTAATTCAGCATAACAGTAGTTAAAAATATGGTCTTTATTTTTCTTAATGTTTAGTTTTTTATTTTCGAGAGAGAGAAAGAGAGAGAGAGAGAGAGAATGTGTGTGCACAAGCAGGGGAGGGGAAGAGGGAAAGGGAGACAGAATCCAAAGCAGGCTCCAGGCTCTGTCAGTGCAGAGCCTGACATAGCGCTCAAACCCATGAACTGTGAGATCATGACCTAAGCCAAGGTTGGATGCTTAAATGACTGAGTCATTTAGCTGCCCCAAGAATATGGTCTTTAGAATCAATTAGCAACTTGAATTTTAGCTCTGCCTACTTTCAGTGTAATATAAACTAGTTGCTTAGCTTCTCAGAGCCTGAGTTTCCTATAATATGGGGATAGTAATATCTATCTCATAGGGTAAGTAAAAATGGCATGTATTTCATGCTTTTAACACAAAGCTTTGTAATGAAGTTACTAAATGTAGTTCCTAGTTATGCTAGGAATAACAACAACAATTATCAGATATCACTGTTTTCTTATACTCATAGGAAACTCTGCCCTTAAAGACAAAGAAGATCAATTTGGGAGGACACCACTTATGTACTGTGTGTTGGCTGACAGACTGGATTGTGCAGATGCTCTCCTGAAGGCAGGAGCAGATGTTAATAAAACTGACCACAGCCGGAGAACAGCCCTCCATCTCGCAGCTCAAAAGGTGAGAAGTTAAAGTCCTTTGAAGTGTAAACCTTTTGTGAGATATTCCTACGTTGATTAATGGGACTATGGAATAGACAGATGGTAAAGAAATCACAAGTATGTGACTCTTAGTTCCATTTGTTCTCTCTAAAAGCAGTCTATACTGCAGAGAATAAAACACAGATAATCATGAGTGGCCGCATTCACTTATCCACATTCCTTGAGCAATGGAATTCATTATATGATCTAAGATTAAGTCAGAGAAAAGGAATAAAAATTGTATGTATAAGATGATAAACCACATTACAAATCAATTTATGCATAGGGAAAAAGCAAAAAGCAAAGGCCAAAAAGAAAAACACTAAGGGGGTGCCTTGGTGGCTTCGTTGGTTAAGCGTCTAACTTCAGCTCAGGTCATGATCTCACAGTTCATGAGTTCTAGCCCCACATAGGGCTTTGTGCTAATAGCTCAGAGTCTGGAGCCTGCTTTGGATTCCGTGTCTCCCTCTCTCTCTGATCCTCTCCTGCTCCTGTTCTGTCTCTCTCAAAAATAAATAAACATTAAAAATTTTTTTAAAAAATAAAAGCACTAAGATATTAATAGTGGTTAAGTTTTAATATTGGTAATTTGTATAAATTTTGGTACTTTTTACTGTTTAAAATATTCCCCCTCACAACTATTAATTATCTTTTACAACAAAAAATTGCAGTCTCTCTTAATGCATGGGTAATAAGAAGCATAAAAGAAATTAATTTTCTAAATGTATTTCAATTTTTTAAAAATTTGAAACTATATTGCCAGCATAAATGACTTTAGGTTTTTTAAAGGCATTGTCAAGAGCTGAGATTTTAAAGATTAAACATATCAAAAAATTAAAATGGGAAGCTTATAAATTTAGAGACTTATTTATCTGAAAATTATTTTTCCCTCCATAAAATTATGGTGTATAAAATATATTTCTAGTGCCTGATATTTTTCTTTTTTGCTATTTTAGACATATATTTTTGGAATAAAAAGCAATAAAAATTAGTTAGATCCAGCAGAAACTATTAGAGTTATTTCCCATTAAAAAATGTGAACCAGATATAGCTGATTAATTGAGGGGTTAGAAAAATACCTTTTTCATTAGTTGAATACATAAAAAGAGACTGACATTAAGATATACTACTGAATATGCTAGTTATATGCTGGGATCAGTTAGGTCTGTCAGGTTATTCCCAAAGTTATTGCTCTTGAATTTGCTTTTCATTATAGTAATTTTTAAAAAATCTCCCTCATTTTCAATTTCTGTTTTAACTACTGTTCAGGTATTTAAAACCTTTCACCTAGGCTTGTCAGCTGTAAAAACTATTCACTCAGGAAGGGTAACTCCATTTAACTTGTTATCATAAAAAAGTAAACATTTCAGATTGGAGATCGCGCCAGTATTAAGAATTTGATACACTTTAGATTTTTCATTGTGGTTCATTTAGATTTAAAACCCAAGTTCAAAAATGTAGGTAGCTTCACATCAAATGGGTCACATGAAAAAAACTGGGGATTTGAGTCAAGGAGCCTACAGCATGTCATCTTTGAGAGGTATAATGTGACCAAAACAGTTGAGAAATTAGATTAGTTATATCTCTTCACAAGATGAAGTACATTGTTTTCTTTTGCTTTTTGTCTCTCCTTTATTTATTTCTTTGTTAGTTTGTTTGTTGTGACAGAGAAAGAGAGCACGGGGAGGCAGAGAGATAGGAAGAGAGAATCTTAAGCAGGCTCCATGCCTAGTGGGGAGCCAGATGTGGGGCTTGATCTCATGACTGTGTCAAGAATTGGATGCTTAACCAACTGAGCCACCCAGACGCCCCACTCCATTATTTTTTTAATTGTGACTTTCTACAGCATCACAGAATAAATAGAACTATATTTACATGTCACAATTTACATAGCTGATTTCAGAAATAACAAGTTTCTTGGTCTTTCGACTATCTGATAATCAGATTTCATCCTTTTCCCCCTTTCTCTGTGTTGTGGTTTGTTTTTGCATATTTGCCAAAAGCGGCAATGTATCTTTAGGCTATACTAGCACTAGTAGAATTTCCAGAACAAGGGTGGTCATAATTCTTTAAAACTCTGCTCTGTCCAGATCAAAACTGGGTTTTGTGTTTCATTTTGTGCTTTATGCAAAAGCACCCTTATTTTAAAAATCAGAGCTAAGATAGTTCAGGCAGGAATAAGAATGTGAAGAATCTAGAAGTAATTTTCAAAGGATAGTTGGAGATGACCTGTCCCAGGTCTGTAGCACACCCTGCCTCTGAGCAGACACAAACACAGATTCTCTTTAGAGCAAACATCTTTACCTTAAACTTCCAGGATTCCCCCATACTACATAGACCAAACAAGATCTCAAAGTAAAAGATCACCAAACATTTGAGGAAGGAATCTACCATGAATGAGAGTCAGCAGAAATGATAAACAGATTTATTCCCTCAGAAACTAATATTGGCATCATTAGAAACACAATGTAAAATAACCATTGATGGAATGGTGAAAGATATGAGAGAAGAAATCAGAAAAATGAGCAATCAATAAGAGACTCTCATGATGAGGCATCAGTTCTTGCCATGACCACTTATTTTAGAATAACCCATCTACCAAAAACTTTTATAATAACTGAATAAAATATATGTACATTGTTTGAAGACATTGTGAGCAGTCAGCAAAAGCAGGATCTAAGAAATTACAGTCATTCAGAGAAGAGGAGCATGGGAAATGAACACCACATTTATCCCATTGTCGCCTTTAAGGCATCTTCCAAAATGGAATGCAAAAGAATACAACCCTAGCAGGAAGCAATTGTCTTACAAGGGAGAGAAACCACAGGTCGAGTCTGGGGCTAGCAGTGGCTGGAAGGTGAAGGAGCAAAATCCTGGAGAGGAGGTTATTTCAGAGAAGGAACCCAAAAATCTGGGTACAAATTCTTTGCACATTGTTTGCAGATTCCTCAACTGTGCTTGTGCTAGGTGAGGCTCAAAGAAACCCAGCAGTAAACAAGTACTGGAGGCCAAAGAGCTAAACAGAGATTGTTTTAAAACTGTCCTATGTCTTCCTTCCTATGTAAGTTTTTAACACATAAGTTGATTTTTGTGTAGGGATCTATTCTCATTTTAAAACATAGAATAACAAATTTTCCCAGGACAACCTAGCTCATTACTTTTCAGCCATTTAGTATCTGCTAAGTGCCAGTGCCAGGCTTTTATACTATGTACCTCCTGTGCTTTTTTTTTTGTTTGTTTTTATTTTTTTCATTATGGTTTTTAACACTTTTTTTTAATGTTTTTTTTATTTATTTCTAGGAGAGAGAGAGAGACAGCGTGAGCAGGGAAGGGTCATAGAGAGAGGGAGTCACAGACTCTGAAACAGGCTCCAGACTCTGAGCTGGCAGTCAGCACAGAGCCCGACAGCGGGGCTCGAACCCACGAACCGCGAGATCATGACCTAAGCGAAAGTCGGACGCTTAACCGACTAAGCCACCCAGGCGCCCCTCATTATGGTTTTTAAATAAAGGGTCCTGGGGCACCTGGGTGGCTCGGTTAGTTGAACATCCAAACTTTTGATTTGGGCTCAGGTCATGGTCTCATAGTTCATGAGATCAAGCCCCACGTTAGGCTCTGCACTGACAGCCTGAAGCCCGCTTGGGATTCTCTCTCTCTCTCTCTCTCTCTCTCTCTCTCCTCTCCCTCTCTCTCTCTGCTCCTCCCCTGCTCACATCCTCGCTCTTCCTCTCTCTCCCTCTCTCAATAAATCAATAAGGTAAATAAATAAATAAATATTCTGAATATGAGGGAGCTACTTAGGAAATTTGAAAATAAAAGTTACACCATAACAGTACTTTAGGGAGACAAATACGGCAACTAAAGTTCTTTTGGAAGAGGAAGAGAGAGGAGGTACACAGAAAGCTATTACAGTTCAGGCCAATGGAGAGGAAGAGTTTGGTCCAAGAGATGTATTGTGGAGGTAGAATTGTTCATTCACTCTGCAGTTGCCACATGTCTACTGTATAGTCAGGATTTACACCTAGAGAGAATATAAAAAAATGAATCACATATGTCTGCAGTGAAAAAGTACTCTCCGTACTGATACCTATTAAATTTCATTTGTCTTTGTTTAATGACCCTCTCTGATCTATCAGATATCAAATATTCTTTTCAAGTGTTGTCTATCCCACTCAATTCTGTTATCTGTGAACTCAGAAGTGTGCTATTTGCATAATCATCAATATTCATGTATATGTACATGAATGCATTCATTCAACATATGTTCAGACTGTTACTATGTAACAGGTGCTGTGCTGGGGCTTTGGAATACAAAGATGAAAGACATGATTCCTGCTCATAAGTTGCTTACAAAGATCATGAATAAAGATATCAAGTGATAATTAAAGCTGGCCTATCTACCTTTTATATCTAAGCATTTATAAAGTATCAACAGGCATATCATGTAAATAGTTATTTCTTACTACTGATCTGAAAATCAAACATTCTCATATGTTATTTACTATCTTTTTGCTTTCTTGTGTGATAGTGACTAATTATGTTATCTTTCATTAGTTTGATTAGTAGGAAAAACTCTTGTTCCCATAGAGTGTTGTTCATCTCTCTGTTAGAGCCCCAATATCTTGTGCTGTAATAATTGTTCACTTGTCTCTTTCCCACTGGACTGGATCTCCAGGCAAGAACCTTGTTTTATTTATTTTTGAATCACCTAGAATCTAACACAGTGTCTGACATGTCTTGGTCGAATGAATGAATACACTTTGGGTTACTTATATAGAAAGCCATTATTAACACAAATGCTAGACATTTCGTTTATTAGAAACATTTATCCAGTTTCAGAACACATATATGGGAAAAAGTTATTGAACCATGTTGATTGGCTTACTTATTTTGACACATATTCACTTCTCTGGAAACAAATTGCTGTTAGTCCAAGCAGCTAAGAAAATGGTACCCACAAGAATAAAATTAATCTCAATA